CAGCAGAAATTAGGTTTTGTTGAAATGGATTAATTTTTGAAAAGTGAAATTGTTATTGGGGCAGCACGGTGGCACAACTGGTAGAGCTGCTGCCTCTCAGCAAGCAGGTCCTTGGTTCAAACCCTGGTCCATGGGCCCTTCTGGGTGGAGTTTGCATGTTCTCTCGGTGCATGCGTGGGTTTTCTCCGGGTGCTCCGGTTTCCTCCCACAGACCAAAAACATGCATGTTAGGCTGATTGGTAACTCTAAAATTGTCCCTAGGTGTGAGTGAGAGAGTGAATGGTTGTTTGTCTCTATGTGGCCCTGTGATGGACTTGCGACCCGTCCAGGGTGTACCCCGCCCCTCGCACAGTAATTGCTGGACATGGGCACCGGCGACCCCCGTGACCCAAAATGGAATAAACGGGTAAAGATAATGGATGGATGGATGGATGAAATTGTTATTGAGAATATTTTTCTTGTGTTAAACCTTCTATCTTAACCCATAAAAGATCATCTTCTCTCTGTCTGTCTTTGGCAAAAAGGAAGCAGTTTATGAATCATCTGACGTGGTCTTTTAGTTAAACATTATCTCTGCACTCAGCCCTTTTATCTGGATCTGAATGATGGGCCTTCAGGGAGGAATGAGTGCTCCTTCAGGCCCGACATGCCTTCAGTACCGCTGCCTTTGACCCAGCGCTGTCTCACGGGAAACTTCAACATTAATTACGATGGTTTCATGGTATATCAATCAGGGACTCCTGGTAGATCACTAAATCATCCTTACAGAAATGAGTACATGTTAAAGAGTTGAAGAAATCTGATTAAGAAATCATTCCAGCTGTGGAAGTAATATCTCATGTTTATTTTACAAGTGTGTCTGTTTGAAGGGTTGCACATGTTCAACCTTGTGAGTGCAGAGTTGTAAGAAAAACTAACGCAGCAGCTTTGAGACCTAAACACTTTATGTCTGCTTGGTTTAACTTTGAACTGGAACAGAGAAAATTCAGTCGATGCAGTTTTTTTTTTGCTGTATTTGTTTGTTTGTTTTTTGCAACAGACTTTTTTTTTAGATAGAAAAAAAGAGTCATAAATTCTTGAAACCTCAATTATAGTTCCTGTAATTGTGCTGTACTAGAAAAAAAATGTTGATTCCCTATGCAATACATTTACATCAGTGCATTGCTTTAACAATATCCAAATTATAGATAGTGGAAAGTCAGCCTACATTAAATCCTGAAGTGGATTTATTATGCAAAATGTCCACTTTTCTGTACTTGTTGGCACATTTATGAACTCACTGCCAACTCAAAAACTTTAGGAAAAAAGCAACCCTCTCATTTAGTTTTGGTTCCTTTAGGTTTAAAAATATCTCATTCAGTAAATTTGCAGGGGAAAATGTCACTTCTCGAAATTAGAGTGCAGAAAAATCCAGGATTAGAGTGCAGAAAAATCCAGGATCCTCACTTCAGCTTCCAACTGGCTCCAAGTTCACACAAATATTGTTAACAAGGTGACTGGCTGGTGCTTTTCTCAGCATTTGCAATTGTAATGTAATATTTTGTTACTCTTAAACAATTAAATTCATAACTTGAACGTTTGTGCCTATAAAATGGGTTCTAATAGTGTTCAAAGTTTGCTGACTCCAAGTTTGTGCTGTTGGTTCTTTTTAAAGATTAAAGTTTGTATACAAATGTAGAGAATAAAACTATGATAAATCAAGTGTTTCAGATTGTTCTTTTATTTCAACTGCAAAGATAATAGTTCAAAATGCAGTGAGGGATTTGTTGCTGTATTCTGTTGTATTTTGTTCAAAGCATGTGTCAGACATTTAAATAAGACCTCAGGGAACAGCTGACTAGCTATAAAGAAGTATAATTATATTATAAAGTATGTTTGATTTAAGTTACTAAACAATGTTGGGTTCTTGTTATATACAAAATCAACCAATATTTACTATAAACTGCTCTATTTTTTATTTTATTTAATGTTTGTATGTCATTTATTACTTCTTCCACCACTGAACAAAGCTATTTTTTTTTATAATTTCCAGACGAGCTGTCGTCCAGGTCAGCACAAATTGGCACCTCTTTTATTATTGAATATCAGAAAGATGAATTTTAGCAAAGTGTGCTTTAATAGAAGCCTCGTCTGGGGAAAACGTCACGCTTGGTGCTTTAATTCACTTTTTTATTGACATTTAGAAACATATTTATTATGGACATCTGCTTCAGTTATAAGTCTAAGTTTTCATTTAAATGTCCATTGTTTTTAACACAACAGAGAAAAGGAACACAACACAAGCATTTCCACTAATATCAGATTGTTCTCCACTCTTCTCTGTTATATTTCTCTCTCCAGTTCCCTTTTTTTTTTTACAAATAAAGTTGAATGTTTTCAAACTTTGTGGAGTTTTTTTTTCCATCATCTTACATACAGTCATTTCTCATTTATATGTCCATTTCTTGAATCTAGTGTCTTTATTTGGAGCAGTATCATGTGCACACCACCACCACCATTACTATATCTCCTTCTAATTTGTATGTTTTTATTACTGTTTTCCACATTTTTATAGTCTACTTGCTCCATGGGTTATTGATCTTTTTATAGCATTTTGCAGGTCGCTGTCTGCTAGGAGTAGTGCTCATGGGGATGGAGGTCATGCCCTCTTCAATGCTTTTCCACTGAGCTTCATATGAAGGATTGCTCCAATAGATCACGGGCCTCAGTTGTGTTGCCCAGTCTCTGAGGGAGGAAAGCCCCCATCCCCTTTTATCTTTTGATAATGGTAAAGTTTTTAGTCTAATCCTGAGTCTTTTACTCTGCCGCATCTGGACAAGATGTTACATTCGTTAAATTGTGGTCAGCCTAATTCTTTTGGTAAAGTTTGGAATAGATAATTTTAATAAAATACTCATTTCAATTGAATATATGGGATTAGATTCCATATATAATTTATTAGATTTTGTATTGGTAAGTAATTGCACTTTGATAAATCTGTGAGGTCCTTTGGAATTTTTACTCCTAAATACTTAATATGTTCTGTTCACCGTGATAGATCATACTTTTACTTGATTTATTCTGGAGGACTGTAATTGTATTTAAGTTTTACTTATGGTAATTTTGTATCCTTATAATACACCAAAGCATTCAAATGATTGCATTAGTTTAGGTAGAGAGCTTGTTGGTTGCCCCAGAAAAATCAAAATATCGTCTGGCTGGTTTATGCTCTTTCCCGTGTTAATTAATGTCATTTATTTCATAGTTTTATTATATGTTGAGCGAGTGGTTCTAAGGTTAATGCAAGAAACAATGAACACGCACACCCTGCTTTGTACCTCTTTACAAAACAAAGCTATTTGATAAGAAATCATTAACTTTTTCATATAATGCCTGTATTGTTTAAATTTTTGTTTTGTGCAGGCCAAATCTATGAACCTGATAAAAGAAACTCCAATTTACCTTTTTCTGCATCACTACCAATACCATCGCTGCTATTTTTTCCTTTTGAATGTGGTTACAGTAATAACAATAATAACAACAATAATTATATATATATATATATATATATATATATATATATATATATATATATATATATATATATATATATAAATATACATA